TCTCTCAAAATTTTTAGCCTCATGCTATTTGAAAAATAAAAATCTACAGCACCATCTTCTCAAAAGGCACTTTCTAAGAACCACCTTGCTTTAATAAATGATGAAAAAATTTAGTTCAGTGTCTACCTTGAAGACCATCTTCACTTTACTGAGACCCTACCATCACTACAACAATCAGATTTTGGTTATCTCAGACACTAGATTCAGATAGGGAGGGAGTCCAATGGCTAGATAGGTGAACTGACAGAATCCTAATTTGTGACTCTGTTGGTTACATGACACTTCAACAAGGTTTCTCACTGGCAAGTCCCAACCCTCCATATCAATTTATTATACTTCTATCTTTAACTCAAGTTAAGATCTTTAAGTTCTATACTTCAAAAGTAAAAGATTCTTAAAATTTAATCAGCAATGTGAAAATCTAGAGTACTATCTCTGATGGGTAAAGTAAAATAAACTTGAACTATCAGTAGCATAAGGCTTGATCATTATATCTTGGTTTAAAAAAAAGCATGTTGACCAACATAAAATTATAAACTTAAATGTACCGTTTTTAAGTAGGTTTTTTTAAGTAGGTTGTTCTTCATATAGATTTTTTTTTCTTTCTTGGGAGTCAGCTTAGATTTCATTAATCATACATGGTTTCTAACATTGCCAATGATCAAGAATGTCCTTAATATAAAAATGAATTAAAAAAAATTTTTTTTTTTTTAAAACAAAAGTCACATTTCTGCATGACTTTTGCACATCTATTCTTGGCTGATTTTCTGACTTGTGTGGAATCACAGACAGACTCTAGAATTAGGTTATACCACCATTCAGGGAGGACTAACTTAGTGTAAAGTCTTCCAACTACTATTATTGAAGTGTTAAGGTATTTATGAATTCTCAAAAAGAATGAAAAGGATTCAAACTTCATATGGATGTAAAAGAAGCCAAAACAAAAATGTCAGCCCAATGATGTCTTTTTGCAGCTTGACTGATAACTCATAAACATTAATGTAAGTGGCAAGGCAGGGCAACCTATTTTTAAAAGCATTTACTCTAAGAGGATGAGTTAAGCAAACATTTAACTCAAGTTTAATGGTATTATGCAGAGTTGTCAGTTAAGTTTCTTGGCAAAACATTACCAAGTTTGAAATGGCAAAACTATACATATTCTAGCTGGGTCCAAGTGGCTGGTTTCTTGAATTTCATAAGAATCATCACCTATGGCAAAGTCATGTTAGCCTCTGAAAAGATCCACCATGTTCCTTGAATAATAGTCCCTAATTCCTGATCTGTAATCCATCTAATTACTTTGACCTATTACAGTTCTACCCTGTCTTTTAACACTGAGATCCTCTGCCAGCTATCTGTATTGAATGGCAACTCAGCTTTTATATCCTAGGTATATCTTGAGTTTGTCACGACTCTAAGAAACTACATCAGAGAATACACAGTAAACATTAGGCAAACGTGGGTCGTCAGAGAATCTGACTTGGAAAATTCACATAAGTCTTTAGGTGGCTGGGATCCCTATGCTAGAAAGTAGAGATGAATCTTTATCAAGTGCCTTCCGAAACACCTAGTACATTCCTACCAGAATCCCTTCTGGACTCTCTTCTAGGAAGAGAAATAAATTAATAGGTTATAAACAGGAATATTTCCATAGAAGAATATTTTTTTTTCTGAGAAACTTCTAAAAAGGGAACTATTAACAAAAATAAAGGGCATCTCTAATGTAAAAATATGCCTAAAACCAGTACTCAGAAGGATGAGGTACCTTTTTCCAAAACTGCAAAAGACAAAATCCACATTTCTAAAACAAAGAAAGAATATCCTGATATTAAATTGAAACTAAAATGGCAGCACCCTTTGTTACCTTGATATTTCATGTCCTTACTCTTATTTAGAAAACAAACAAACAAACAAACAAACCCAAATGGGTCTAATACTAGCCTTGATTTCTGCTCACCTCCTTATTGTTTAGTGCAGTAACTGTCAGACTCTACTGAAATAAATATAGCAGCTACAGTATTACAAATGTATGGTCCTCAATGCCAGTAACTTGATACTGTCGCACAAATACATGTATCAGCACTTTACACAAACATATTTGCCATCAAGAATATACATTAAACTCCTAACCCTTCTTCACATGAAAATCAATCAAACCAGATGCCGTGACCGACATTTTAAAGTCACTTATATAGATACATCAGAGAAAACAATAGACCAAAATTTAGCATTCATTTTATAGTTAGTGAGGAGCATGGGCAGGAGCAGAAAGCTCACTGAGTTTAAAGATTTTTAAATTAAATTAAAAAAAAAAAAGTTTTGTGTTTTCTTTCAGTAAGAAAGATCAGAAATTCTAACCAGATGTGCAAAAATAATTAAATTTCAAAAAGCATTTGCTAGCCTTTCATTTTAAATTTCTAAGTCTTGTAATTAAGTTTGATATACCAATTTGCTAGTAAGCAAAATAGAAATATACATATTTTTCCAAGCTAACCAACTTAAATTAGCAATGTCATATAGTGTAAGAGCCCCCTAGAAAAGAAATCACTCAAAAGACAAATAAAGCTTTATGTTCGAAAAATACATTTTTTTTCCTCTTTAAAAAATCCTTCCAAATAGATGGAAATTAAGGACTTCACTCTAGCAGCACGTTAGACTAAGTGACTGAATACTAGGTAAAGCAGTCATAGGGAAAGGGTGTTTATAGTTCTTCCTTGGGCCCTGAAGTTTCTCACATGAATCTCTGCCACTCTCACTATAAAGATGTCTTCCTCACACTGAGCAAGCATATACCAGTCCAGAAGTTTTTACCATCTAAAAAACCCAAAGCCCATTGCTGTCAAGTTGATTCCCACTCCTAGTAACCCTACAGGACAAAACATGGCATTTGTGGAAGCAAACATCTTTCTCCCACAGAATGGCTAGTGGGTTCAGACCACTGATCTTCCGGTTAGCAGCCAAGTGCTTAACCATTGAACCACCAGAGCTTTTTTACAATATAAATCAAAATAAAAAACACAAACCAAACTCACTACCATCGAGTCAATTCCAACTCATAGCAACCCTCACTGGGTTTGTGAGGTGGTAAATCTTTATGGAAGGAAGCATATTACCCTATCTTCCTTCTGCAGAGCAGCTTGTGGGTTTGAACCACCAACCTTCTGGTTAGCAGTCAAATGCCTTAAGCATGGCTTCACCAGAGCTCCTTTTTTACCATCTTGGATATGCTATTTCCTTCTCTTGGTCATTATCCTGACTACATGTAGTGAAACTGCAACGTAAAAACAAAACAAAAGCAAAAACATGTTTTATAGGATTTTTTTTGAAGAGAAAGGGAAAGGCTAGGAGAAAACATGTATATACTATACAAATATTATCTTATGTAAAGCGCTTTGAAACAGTGTTGTAAACTGCATTTTAGACACTTCAATGTAATAAACATACAAAATACAGTACTTTTTCAGTTTTCTGGCAGAGGGACAAAAGATTTCATGCCTGTTGGAGGACATGGCTCAGATTTTAGGCTCAAAATACAGTAAATTGGCATAATAGTGGATTACAGGTAAGAAAGAAACTATAGAGCTAAATCTAATAGTTTTCATGTGCAGATGGAATTATGAAAGGCGAACAACAATGCCCACTGGGAACAATCTGCAGTATCTATACTTTGAACCAGTGCAAAAAAAAAAAATCAAAATGCTATTTTCATGAATTACAAAGTGCAAAGCTCCCCTGAATCCAATGTTACTGATAAACTTGGTTTTGACGGTTTATAGTATTTTTTTTTAATATCTTAAAGTGGAATCAGTAGAAGTTTTAAAAACTTTTTCCTACATTTCACGGATTTTTACTCATTTAATAAAATGATTAAAGTCCTCATTTCCTTTTGTCACCAACATCTTAATTTTAAAAGGAAAGTTACATTGGTGATAAATTAGCAAATATGTTTTAAAAACAGCATCTCACATTTTCTTGATTAATTTTAGTAAATGAAAATGCACACTTAGCCAGTGAGATTTGTCAGTAGACATGATCTATTTTCAAAGGATATAAGTATCTTCTAAATCTTAAGTTGCTCATTATCATTTCTTAAATCAAAGTCCAACTTTATTTCTAATAGTCAAGGTCTGACTCATTTAGGCAATGTCATTTCCATTACGATTTTTAAGAGACATGCCTTAAGCTTGAAAATTGCAAAACTTTCCTTCTGAAATTAAGGCTATATTACTTTTGCCCTTTTAAAATTATAGAGGTGCCTGTTCTTCCCGCATTCCAGGGTAAAGATGTCAAACAGACACAGCTTTCCTTTAAAACTGGTTATTGCACTAAAAGATAGCTAAAACAAATAGTTCCTAAAATAAACATGGTAATATTTCTATAAAAGATGTTGCCAATATGTTCTACAATTATTAAACCACTATTCTAATAAATATAAAAGAAAAGGAAGCTATACTTCAAAACACATACATATATGTTTATATATACACACACATATATATAAAAATATATATATGAAAATTACATTAAGGTATGAGAGGCAGTTAAGTAAACAAGCAAACAAAACTCAACAACCCCTCCCCTCTCTACACCCAATTTCAGAGGCCTCAACCCTACAGAATTCCAATCTTTTAAAATATTTACTCTTTAAAAAGCTTTAAGAGATTTCTATGTATAACCCATAGAAACAGAAGGCTTTAGAATACATATCACTTATCAGAGAGAAAGAGTTACAACTTCTGACAAGGTTTTACAGCAGCTTTAACAAACTCACTAAAGAAAAAGAAAAGTTAGGTTGCTACTGCTTATGTACATATTGCACAAATAGCAAATGTAAGTTCATAGAGACAGATACATATACACATGCTCACAAAAACATATAAAATCATTTTGCTTCTTAAGAAAGTAGTATCAAGAGTTGAGGACTCAGAACTGTGTATGAGACAAGAGACAGCAGTTGGCTAAAATAAAGAAGTAGGGTGTGCAAATTAAAAACACAAATCTAGTTTGCCATGCTCCACATCCAAATGAACCAGATATATGAACATATGAAGGTCACTGGTAGCATTAGGGAAAAAAATGGAGGTGATGAAGGCAAGGGAGGTAGACAGAGAAACTAAAGTGGTGGTGAGGATGAATAAAAGGGAAAGAAAGTTCCCCAATGGAATGAACTATAAAAATATATACGCAGACACATATATATCTATTATCACCTAGATCTAGATATATATGCATATGAGTATGCATGTATATATTTAATATATACAGACACTTTACAAGAATACACAAATGCACATTAATTTTTTTGCACACATAATTGTGAACAATCACTTTGATTATTCATGTTGGTGTTTTTTTGTTTTTTTAAACCATCATTTACTTTTTCTTTACTTTTTTTGCAAAGAGAGTTGTGCTGCCAAGCAACTTGAGGTAAAGGCATTAAAAGGGTTAGACTACAAGAAGTGAAAAACAAAACAATCGCGATACTTCCTACAGGAGACCGCACAAAAAAGCAGTTGGCTGGTTTCATATTGCATAATGGAGCTGTGTTCCTTGATGAAGTAAACAATCTTCCTTGTATCAACATAAGGATCAGACCCTGGTCCCCCCACAGTGTTGGTTTCTGTATGGCTGGAGGCATCCCCACTGAACTGACTCCACTGGAAACACACGTCCTGTACGTCCATTCCTCTTTCAGTTTTTCCTCTCAGAGAATAGACTTGGACTTTTAAGCAAAGTACATTGTGCGTAAGGTATCTTGGTGAATCTGTACAGCCTTGGCAAGAGCTTGTGGATCTCGTCCATTGCTCTGTCCTGAAACGTGACTTCCTTCAGCACTGCAACAGAAGTGACAATGAACACAAAAACAAACCCCATTCTGATAGAACAATACTGGAAAGTGTTATCTGCGTTATCATTAAAAAATAGAGATTGGTATAATGACCCCTATGTATCTATCACACAATTTGAATAATTATTAATTCAAGGCCAACTTTGTTTTACTTCTCTCATCTCTCAAGACTTATGTAGAAGCAAATCCCATCTCATTTTATCTGCATATATATGTACAGCACTTTCATTACCAATAACCTCTCTCTTGAATTAATTTCGTAAACCAAGTAAATCTCTGCATCATTATATTACTAATGAACCTAGATAGCAGCTTATACACATTTCAATGGGAAAATCTTACCTTGGCAGTAGTTCTGATTACCATTACTTTTCATAGCTTGTAGAAATTTAATTCTAAATGGCAGTCAGTGCTTTTTAGCAAACAAAGAGGTACATACTTACATGCAAGTGCTTAGAAAAATTCTCCAAGAAAATTTTAATACAGAGAGCACATTTGGATTTTGGTGAGAATTTCTATCAGTTATGGCTTTTATATTACCTGTCATGTTCTTTGTCCACAAGATGGTATCTGGCTCTGAATGCAACCAGGTGAGCATAATACGCTGGTGCAGGTATAGAAACAGATCGTGTACAGCGCACATATGTGTGGCAGAGCTGGTAAGTTAGCAGCTGAAGTTCATCTGCAGTAAAGCAGTTATCATCCCATAAAACATGATAGTGTGAAGGACGGCTGGTACCCTACAGAGAAGGCAATGGCATATCCTGTTGATTTCTAAACTTTTAAATAAATATTCAGTACAGACTAAGTTATATAAAAAGCCAGCTTTGTGTACTAGTAAACATATTCTAATTTAATAATCAATTTTAAAAACATTTAGTTGAGCTATTACATATTAGTTACTATGTTAGATATTATGGATTTAAAGTAAAACAAAGTCAAGGGTTTCTTGTCTTTTGGAAACCATAATTTAGTAGAGGAGAGAAGACACAGAAGTATTTACTACTGGCACATATTATATGAGAATACCAAAGGAAGTAATTGGGAGAGCTGGTGGATGTTTTACCAAGGAAGGCACTAAGAAGCTAAAGTTTGAGTGAGATTTAGCCTTTTTGGATAGTCAGCGTGAGAAGACATCCTGTAAGCTTGTTGCCACTGAGTTGGTTTTGATTCACAGCAACCCTGTAAGATAGAGTAGAACTACCCCACAGAGTTTCCAAGGCTGCAGACTGCCACATCTTTCTCCCGTGGAGCAGCTGGTGGGTTTGAACCACTGACCTTTCGGTTAGCAGCCAAGTACTTCTGTGCCACCAGGGCTCCTTGAGGAGGCATTAGACAGAACAAACAAAAACACAAGGGGCATAATATTTCATGGCATGTCTGAGGAATAACTAATAGGCTAGTGTAAACAGTGTGTATGGCATAAAGGGGAAAAGATGAAGTTGAAAAGAAAGTCTGGAATCAGATTAAATGCCATGCTTAGGAATTTGGACTTTAACCTGTGAGCAGCAGGGAAAACAATGCACAGGTTTTTTTTTTTTTTTTTTTTTTTAAGCAGGAGAGTTTTCAGGTGTGATGAGACCAGGGTTTTCTAGAAGTTATATCAGCAATAATATGGGGGACAGATTAGGAATAGGAAGAGACTGAAAGCAGTAGTACCAATTAGAAGATTCTTGCATTATTAGTTCTGGTGTGAGATGATGAAAGTATGAAATAAGGAAGGGTCAGTGGAAAAGAAGGAAAAGAAAAAGATTAGCTTGTAACTCAACAAATACTTGCATAAGTTATCATCTGTCAGGTGCTGTATAACATTCTGGGGAGAAAAATCCAAATTATTGTCAAATTCTTCCTCCCCAAAATTATGTGTATAAATGTATATATATTTATGTATTCACACATTCAATAAATATTTATTGAGCACTCGTTATATGCTATGTCCTGTACCAGGTCGTGGGGATATAGTTGTGAATAAGACATACATTCCAGTGAGAAGAGACAGATGAGACACAAACAAAACCATTAGAGATTGGGCCAAAACAGTAATTAAGATGTAGAATAGGGCTTAGCTAGTAACTAGGAGCCCTGGTGGTGAATGGTTAAGTGCTTGTTGTTAACTGAAAAAGGTCAACAGTTGAAACCTCCCCCGACACACACACCAAGTGCTCCATGGGAGAAAGATGTGTCAGTCTGTTTCTATAAAGATTTACAGTCCTGAACTCTATGGGGGCAGTTCTTCTCTGTCCTGCAGAGTCTCTATGAGTTGGAACTGACTCCATGGCAATGGGTTTGGTTTTAGTTTGGAGTGATTAATTAGAAAAGGGTGGTAGGTGAGAACACATAGTCAAAAACAACTTTTGAGATCTGGAAATTAAGAGAAAGATTGTCTGTAAAAAGAGATTGCAAAATCACAAGTACTTAAACTTTAAAATTTAAAAGGTGGATCATACACAGAAAATAGTGTTAGTATTGCTAGAACAAAACCAAGAAAAATTAGAAAGGCAAGCTGAGAAATAGGAGAATGTGTGGAAGCCAAATGGAAGATGGTTTCAGTAAAGAGTGAGTGAATACTGCTTCAGAGATCAAGGAGCAATAATGGTGAAGTCTAGACGGTAGACTGCTACAAATTGAAGAAGTATAGCAAGTGTAGCTTTTTTTTTCTTACTGAGAGAGAGAGAGAGGGAGGGAGAGAGAGAAAGAAAGAAATGAATCTTAAGTGTATAGATAAATGAGTTTTCTCATAATGAATATATGTGAAACCAACACCTAAATCAACTAAGTCTAGGAAGCCCTTTGTGCCTTCTCTTGGTCACTACCCTATCCACTCTGCCTTTGTTGATTTCTAACACTATAGAGCAGTTTTGCCTATTTTTGAAGTTTATAATAAATGGTAAAACAAAACAACACAACTTGATTCTGTTGGGTAGATTCCAAGTCACAGTGACGTTATGTTGTTGTTGTTAGGTGCCGTCGAGTCATTTCCAACTCATAGCGAACCCATGCGCAGCAGAACGAAACACTGCCCAATCCCGTGCCAGCTCCATGATCCCTGCTATACTTGACCCATCATCGCAGCCACAGTGTCAATCCACCTTGTTGAAGGCCTCCCCCTCTTTTCGTTGACGCTCCACCTTACCAAGCATGATATCTTTCTCCAGGGAATGGTCCCTTCTGACAACATGACCAAAGTAGGTGAGACAAAGTCTGGCCATTCTCGCTTCCAAGGAGCATTTCAGCCACACTTCCTCCAGGACAGATCTGTTAGTTCTTGTAGCAGTCCATGGTACTTTCAGCATTCTTTGCTAGCACCACAACTCAAAAGCATCAACTCTTCTTTGGTCTTCCTTATTCATTGTCCAGCTCTCACGTGCATACGAGGCGATTGGAAATATCATGGCTTGTGTCAGGCACCTTAGTCCTCAATGAGACAGACATCCCTGCTCCTCAGCAGTTCAAACAGTTCCTTCGCAGTTGACTTTCCCAATGCTACACGTCATCTAATGTCCTGACTGCTGCTTCCATTGGCATCAGTGACGTTATAGGACAGAGTAAAATTGCCCCATAGGGTTTCCAAAGCTATAAATCTTTATGGAAGCAGACTGCCCCATTTTTCCCTATGGAGTGGCTGCTGGGTTTGAACCAGCAAACTCTCAGCAGCTGAACACTTAACCACTGCAATACCAAGGCTTTGTAATACTTTAATAGTATCATAAGTATAAAGGAGCTCTGGTGGCACTGTGCCTAAGGCATTTGACTGCTAACCAGATGGTTGGTGGTTCAAACCCACCAGCCATTCTGCAGAAGGAAGAAGGGGCAATCTACTTCTGTAAAGATTTACTGCCTTAAACATGGGTATATGGGTGGATAGACAGGTGGACAGGCTGAACTATTAGGTATGTCTATGAAGTGGGGAGTGTACCCAAGACCATGTATAGGGTTGGCAGACAGTGGTCACATAAGTGTATTTATATGATCTGTAAGAATTCCCAGGGGTATAGTACAGCTGACAAGGGACAAGGCTGTAGTCACTTCTTGGTCACACCCAGCTACCCAGAGGG